TAGTTAATGTTTTTCATTGCTAGTCACTTGGCGTCCTAAAAATACGATCAGGGAAAAATGAATATTTACTAATATTATCTTTGTTCGAAAGGCACACATTGGTTGATGCAGATTATACAGCTACTACGGTTTGACAGTGACTTCGAAAAAGTGTTGGAAAGAGGTTTTAAAGACTCTCAGTTATTGGAGCACTTTTTTCCAACACCAATTACAACACAATACGGTACGACAAGTTACGGTTACAAGTACTACGAACAGTTACCATCACCTCGCCTAGTTGTAACGCATCTACCTTTGAAACTTCTTCCAAGACAAGTTTTTGAAAAAAGGGCAAAGGTAAATAATATTAGTTAAGCAGTATGTCGAAAAATCGTGCACTTTGTGATGAAATCACAATGTACGGTAACGTTAGTTTGTTTGTTGTGCTTTTAACTTAATGCATATGATTGTTCTCAAGCTCTGTCCACACTATATAATTCTATGTCAAATAAATGTGATGTTCCCATATGTGTTGTAATATGACATCATCATGCCCATATATGGACATATCACACAAATCCAATTCTGCTCCCGGTGAGCTATAGACGATGCGAAGCCGCCTGCCGATTGTCGGCAGCCTTAAAGGATTGTCATTAAAAATGTTCCGCTGCGCGCGCATCGTCGTGTTGCGTTTTTTTTTTTTCATAGAATCGCGTCGACCGTCGGCCGCAGAGAGTTCCCAGGTTAAGAGCCCCGGGAACCAAGAAAGCAAAGCTTGTAGTTAGGTCTAGGTTAAAGTTTTTCTATTACTCCGGCTACATAATTTTAAAGGTAAAATTAAACATGATAAATTAATAAATTACGATAATAAAGTATAGAAGGGAAAACAAGTATCATTGTTTTTCTTCCAGTAAAATTCCGTACAGTATATATTTATTATTTCTACTTTTTTGTTTTAATTTAATAGTTGCTTCGTCATTGTGCTTCTAATGTTGTGTGTTTACCAGGATATACGTACATTAATAAATAGAATGAATCAATCAACAATTGCAATTAAATTAACATTGTAATATTGTACAGTACACGTCATTTAATAATACTATATCAGCTTTAAGATGAAAGGTACTGTAGACCTATAAGCCAATTCATAGCTTAAACTGCGCACGCCCGTATCCAAGGTCAATCGACAAATCCCATATTTCAGTTCAGAATTTGTTTTCACGCAACGGTTTTTCCTTTTTCCAGGTGATATACGTTGCCAGGAACCCGAAGGACACAGCAGTGTCAACGTATCATTTCAGGAAACCAATGTTTAAAAAAGTGAACATCGAGGTTGATTGGAATCAGTTAATTCAATTCTTCATGACAGGCAAAGGTTCGTTAAAACTATTTTTTGTACCATATATGCTCGCGAATAAGACAAGCCCCGAGTTTGCGATGACCCCCCAGGGACGGATCGAGGGATGTCCGAAAGGGGGAGGGGCGAAAGTGTGGGACCGATTAAGATAACTCTACCCTAGGGGTCTGGGGGCATGCCTCTGTGAAGTTTTTGTGTTTTAGACGCCCAAAAACAACCTCTAAAGCGTTTTGGGCTATCTATTTTTTCTTTCTTTTTTTTTTTTTTTTTTTTTACTTTCCAAAAGGGGAAAATCCTACCTGCCCCCCTCCCATTCCACCGTTGTAATTCATACTTTTTGCTGCTCATGATCTTGATCTTGTATCTGGCTGGCTAAAACCGGAGTCAAATTAATGTAGGGCTAATATCCAAAATAATGCCATTTCGTGGGCTTTTAAATATTAATCAAAATAAAATTGCGTTCATTCAAACTAACATTTAGTACGTTACATGCAGCAGTAAATTCGCATGTTACGGGCGATCTGCACTATAATAGCATGATTTCAAAAGCCTAATATTTTTATGTCGTAATTTTCTATCTTAAGCCTAGTCTTATAGGTACTATATACTTACAATTTGCTCACACCAGCCTCAAGAACTACTGTGTCGTTCTAGCGACGTTTTAATCGAAAGTGCAAACTGTTAATTTTATTTTATTGAACTGTGTTTAATAAGTGTAGCCCTTACAGATAAAGAGCTGACTCAGCAGGGGCGGATCCAGAATTTTTCAAACGCGGGGGTGGGGGCACAACAGTTTAAAAATAGAAAGTGAGTAGCATTTAACATTGATTTGCATTGAAATTTTCAAAAAATTAGCGGCAAACGGGGGGGGGGGGTGGCACGTTCCCCCTACTGGATCTACCCCTACTCAGAGGTGTCCTCGAAGATCTACCAGATTAAATTAATTATTCATAACTACACATTTTTAATGCCTGCATAGTACGTACTTATGATGATTGTGCATTACAATTTATATTTTAATGACGATTAGTGAATATGGGCCTACCATATTTTTGGAAACGACGATTGTACATATTTATAATAAGATAATCATTTTAATTTAAGAATAAAAATGGTATTGAGTATTTTAATTATTAATTAGATCAATTTTTGTCTTTGTTTGCACTTGATAACAGTTTTCTTAACTTTTGCTTTTCCTTTCGGCACCCCTGTTCAACCTTTTATGTTCTTGTGGAAAGAATGAAAATATATAAAAACAAAAAATAAAAAACTATCTGGATGATTTACCTACAGGGATTATTGTAATTAAATGTATTCTTAAATATAATGAATTTTATCATTCATACACAATACATAATTCTCTGAAATATATTTGCAGTTCCGTGTGGACAATGGGCAACACACTTGCTACCATTTTGGAATCGCCGACATGAAGACAATGTGCTGTTCTTGAAGTTTGAAGATATGAAAAAGGTAATAGACGGATACATTATGTACATATAGGCGAGTTGAATTGGCGGAGCCACCGTATAGCCATAATATTGGCGCTGGTTCAAAAGGCACGTTCGCCTATGGTTCGGTTTGGAACAATTCTTAAGGACTATATAAACCGTAGGCCCAGTGTACACAATTTGGATCGTGTGCACTTTTTTGTGTGTAATACAACGTACCTGACGGTTATTTGAATCTGTACAGCAATAAAGCATTTGTGGTTAAATGGGTATGGCGATCGATTTGTCAGCGAGAGGACGCAGGTTCGAATCCCGTAGAAGGCTTTTTATTACACGCTGTATTTATTTGTCCTATTTTTTGTATATAGGACAACATTCGTAAGGTATGCTACACGATGAACACTCCTTTATTCGAACACTGTATTTACCTTTCTTTGAGGATTTATATATTAACGATGTTAACGGTTATCTTGTTTTGAAGATCTCAGAAAAGCAGTAGATGCATACTGTATATACATACATACATGATATTTTCTATACATATAATACATTATCTGTGTATCTTGCAATATACACACAAACCTCTGCCTTTCGTTATAATAATAATAATAATAATAATAATAATAATAATAATAATAATAATAATAATAATAAATAATAATAATAATAATGATGATGATGATGATGATGATGATGATGATAATGATGATAATGATAGATTAAATTATTATTCCATAATATTGCCGCTATTAATCAGCGCAGTTGTGTAGGAACCTACCAGGTACACACTTGTACTCCTGGGTGGAGAGAGGCAACCGTAATTATAGTGCCTTTTAACGAGAGTTAAGTTTTATTTTTTATGGTAGAGATTAATTAGATCTCTATTATAGCCGAAAATCGCTGATAGAAGATCATGGTGATGTTATGATATGACTTACATAAGAATGTCATTGCCGCGTCCAGCTTGAGGTACTATTTCCTCAAATTTTCAGCCCTCAGCCTTAACCATGGTGGGGCTGAGTTGGGTGTGGACTCACGGCTTCGAAGTTATAGGCAAAGTAAAAGTAAATACATCAAATGCAATGTTTTCTAAGTTTTCTTATATGGTACATCACACTAAATGAATCTGGTTGCCGAAAATCGCTGATAAAAGATATGAGAAATTTTTTGGCACTTCATATTTGACTATAATGCTGATGTGATGATGACGAATTTTACTACATTAAAGTGTTATTTCCGGTCATCTAGAGGTACTATTTCCCTACAGGTTATTTAGATTTTAGACATGGTGGGGCTGATTTGGGTGTGGTCTCACGAAATGTCCCCCTACCTTTCAAAACAGATTTGCGCTTTGGTAGGGGCGGCACCAGGAAGACGTGGTGTGGAAGCTCTCCGACAAGGGGATCCACGCCCCACACCTACGTCGGGGAAGTCTAGCCCTCCCTCCCCGGTAAGCGAAAAATTTAATTTGTCAGGAAATATTTTTATTAAAAGATAATAAAAGTTTGTGTTAATTATGGGATTCTTTATTTAAAAGGATGTCGGGGGTACTAACCCACTGTTGGGGGTACCAGCCATCTGTCGGGGAAGAGCTGGTGCACCACTGCAACCCATACAATCGCTATAGTATACAACACCTCGCACATACGGGAGCACTGCTCGCAAACAGTTTTTAATCCCTGAAATTTTGACAGCTTAGTGAGGTATGCTTGAATTGTACTGTCGGAGCTCGAGATTTGGATTTTCCCCGACGACCTTGCTTGAAATTCCCTGAAAGGGCGGTCTAAGCGGGTGAGGGGGTCCAGAGATTCCCGATGGGCCATATATATGGGTCATATGGGTGGGTCATATATATATATATATGTAAAGCAATATTTACACACGAACTGTTTTCGTTTCTTGTGTAAATATTGCTTTACTTTGTATTTTTTGTCAGTTGTCCTCACACTGAGGAAGAACACAGGAGTGTTTGAAATATTTGTGAATTAATAAATTATATTGCTTCTAATATGTCTACAACTCATATCTGTTTTATATTGC